CAGTCCTGCCGGCTTTGCTGGCGCTGGTGCCCTGGGCGTGGAGCGAGCAGGGACCGTGACCGCATCTGGGGGAGTTCTCGGAAGCCTGGGTTTAATGTGGATTTCTCTAGAACGCACAGCTGCGTGTTTCCGCGAGGCACCTCGGGTAAGAAGTGGTCAAGACCACTGGGGGTTTTGTTGCTGTTTTCAGATGACACGGGGGTGTATGGGGGCCGCGGGGCCTGTGTCCGGAGGGGCTGTGCGCACGGATGCTCGGGGGGGGGGGTCATTCTCGCTCTCCTGCTCCTCTCTGGTTAGTGCCAATGCTCAATCACGAGCCCTGGTCTGCAAGGGGGGTTATTTCCGTCCACCTCGCACTGAGGGTGCCACCCTGCGGGACCCCCACTGGGCAGGTGACTTCCATCCTCTGAGGCCCTCGCTGCTGTAAATGGAAGCTGGACACCATTCTTGACTTATAACTGGTTTGTTGTAACTTGTAACTGGTTTGTTGACCAAACGCGGCTTGAAACACACCTTTCGGTACTTATCAGAGTGAATGACGGGGAACCACATCAATTTGCATAGTTTTTTCTTCCCACTCCTGAATAACAGACAATCATGTTTGTTTTCAGTTTTAAATACTTGATTAAGAAATTAGTATTTCCAGTCCTATGGACTGGCCAGACGCACAGTCTCTTTGCCCGGCTTGAGGCTGTGTCAGGCTGGGAGGCTGCAGGGTTCCTGCCACGGTCAGAGTGGGAGGGGAGGAGATACAGGGAGAGAACAGACTCACTGGAACTGGTCTGCACACAGGTGGCCTCACTCTGACCCTTTTGCTCATGGGGAGCTGTCTTGTCTTCTTCTGGGGTTACTGCAGCTGGAGACCCCCCTCCCCGGTCTGCACGCATTTACGGGATCTAGAATTCTTCCCTCAGCCGTGGGCCTGGTGCTGCACAGACAGCATCTCAGAGACCCCCCGACTCGCCCCCTTTATCACATGGCCACACCTGGTCTTTAAGAAACCTTCTTGCACCCTTCCTCCTGCAAGTCCTGTGAACATAGGTCCATTCAGGGAACAGCGCTTCCTGAGCCTCCCCGGAGCAGTGACCATCTCTGCTCTCTAGAACTCAGACCTGAACTGCATTCGCAGCAAATCACAACTCTCACGGTGGGGCTTGAAGCGAAGCAGGTGGCAGCCCCCTGCCCGGTCCTTCGAGTGGAAGGAAAGGAAGGACAGTACAGATTTTGCCAAAGTTACCTTCCTTCTAAAAGCCACCCTCTCCTTCCTGTCCAGGGCGTATTCTGTTCTCAAAGAAGGGGGAATTCCAGGGTGGACCAGACCTCAGTTATTGTTTCTGAAATTCTGAAATTAGATGCCTCAGGTGTCCTGGGGACTCAATAGACCTTTAATTTTCATTAATCAATCATGAAACCCCCTTTGCTCTAAATTCTCAGTAACCCTGTTCTTCTACAAGCTGGGACCCCACCTCCTCTGCCCAGGACAAATGGCTCCTTATCCCCAGGGGTCACCCCAAATACCACCTCCTCCCCTTAGGACCAACTTCTCACTTATCTCCGAACAGATAGCATTTCCTTACACATTTCTTTCGCATTGCATAAAAACTGCATCGTGTTTGTCTATCCGCTTACCTTCTCTTCATGCAGCTGTGAACTTCTGCTGGTCAGGAGCCGTGCCACAGTCTTCTTTGTATCCCTAGGGCTGAGCACGGCACCAGGCACCAGGAGGTGTCCGTGACCACTCGTGGGACCAAGGTGAACGCACGTGGCCAGTCCTCACTTATAGGCAGCAGCAGAGAACGTGGCATCCCGCTTCCCATGTTCAAGGCAGGGAAAGACTCAAGGTCACCAGGGAGCTGCTGAGCTTGGTCTTCTCTCCAAGCCTCCCTCCCTCCCTCTCCACCATCAGGGCACAAGCTCACCCTTCCCCCCCCTAGTATTTGGGAGGGATCATCCAGGCCCAGGTGAAAGCGGGCCCTGATATCTACTGCAGGTTTGGTGGTCTGGAGGTATTCATTGTATTAGCACAGGAACTGGTGGTAAATGATTTTTAGAGATTTTGATAGACTTAGTTTACCAGGTTAAAGATAAAGGCAAACAAAGATATGTTAAGAAAAAAAAAAA